CTACGACCACTTGAGACTTTGCCGATCGAAGGCCTCGTTCGTATCTGGGCACACGAGGCACTCCGCCTGTTCCAGGATCGTCTTATCGCAGAGGAAGAGAGGCAATGGACTGAAGAGTGCGTCCACCGTATTGCGGCTGAACACTTCCCTACTATCGACGAAGAGAAGGCTCTTGGTGGCCCCATCCTCTTCTCCAACTGGCTGTCCAAGAACTACGTGCCGGTTGAGCGTGAGCAGCTCCGCGAGTTCGTCAAGGCTCGTCTCCGTACCTTCTGCGAAGAAGAAGTGGATGTGCCACTCATCCTATTCAACGACGTGCTCGAGCATGTACTTCGTATCGATCGTGTCTTCCGTCAACCACAGGGCCATCTCATTCTCATCGGTGTCAGCGGATCGGGAAAGACAACCCTGTCTCGCTTCGTGGCCTGGATGAACGGTCTGAGCGTCTACCAAATCAAGGTCCACGGAAAGTACTCAGGCGAAGACTTTGACGAAGACTTGCGTACCGTGCTTCGACGATGCGGTTGCAAGGGCGAAAAGATCTGCTTCATCATGGACGAAGCCAATGTTCTTGACTCCGGTTTCCTCGAGCGCATGAACACCCTCCTGGCCAACGCGGAGGTTCCTGGTCTGTTCGAAGGTGATGAGTACGCTTCCTTGCTTACTGCAATCAAGGAGGGTGCGCAGCGTCAAGGCATTATTCTCGACTCACAAGAAGAGCTGTACAAGTGGTTCACGGAACAAATCGTCAAGAACCTCCACGTGGTGTTCACCATGAATCCGCCTGAGGAGGGTCTTTCGTCGAAGGCAGCCACCAGTCCCGCTCTTTTCAACCGTTGCGTGCTCAACTGGTTCGGAGACTGGTCAGACCAGGCTCTTTACCAAGTCAGCTCAGAGCTCACACAATCTGTTGATCTCGACCGCGCCAACTACGTTGCACCGGATAGCATTCCCGTTGCTTACCGCGGACTCAGTCTTCCGCCTTCCCACCGCGAAAGTGTGGTCAATGCCATGGTCGCTGTACACCACTCGCTACGCAGCAAGAACGCGAAGTTACAGAAGACACAGAACCGGAAGATGTACCTTACCCCACGTCACTTCTTGGACTTTGTTGCGCAGTACGTCAAGCTTTACAACGAAAAGCGCGAAGATCTCGAGGAGCAGCAGCGCCATCTCAACGTCGGTCTTGAGAAGCTGCGCGAGACATTCGACAAGGTCAAGGAACTGCGAGCAAGCCTTGCACAGAAGCAGACGCAGCTCACTAAGAAGGATGCAGAAGCGAACGAAAAGCTGCAACGTATGATTGCGGACCAGAACGAGGCGGAACAGAAGAAGGCTGGATCGATCAAGATGCAAGCTCAGCTTGCGAAGGACAAGGAGGAGATTCAGAAGCGACAAGAGGTGGTAGAACACGATTTGGCGGCTGCCGAGCCGGCTGTGGCGGAGGCACAGAAGAGTGTGCAGAACATCAAGCGACAGCATCTTACCGAAGTCCGATCTATGCAGAATCCTCCTGCTGGTGTCAAGCTCGCTTTGGAAGCCGTCTGCACGATTCTCGGACACAAGCCCGACAGCTGGAAGACTATCGTTTCCATCGTCAGGCGTGACGACTTCATCGCCAGTATCGTACAGTTCGACAACGAGAGGCAGATGACTGCAGGCCACCGCAGGAAGATGCAGAAGGAATATCTTTCCCAAGAAGACTTCACTTTCGAGAAGGTCAATCGCGCTTCCAAGGCTTGCGGTCCCCTTGTACAATGGGTATCTGCTCAAGTTACCTACTCCGACATCCTTGACCGCGTCGGTCCCCTACGTGCCGAAGTCGAGAACCTGCAAGTTGAGCTTCAGAAGACAGAGGAGGGCGCCAAGGAAACCCAGGTCCTCATTCAGAACCTCGAGGAGAGCATTGGCCGATACAAGACTGAGTACGCGGCTTTGATCAGTGAAACTCAGGCCATCAAGACGGAGATGGCGACCGTTCAGTTCAAGGTCGACCGCAGTGTCCGCCTTCTCGACAGCTTGTCCTCTGAACGCGTTCGATGGGAGGAGAGCAGCAAGTCTTTCGATTCTCAGATCGACACCATCGTTGGTGACGTCTTGGTTGCAGCTGCGTTCATCGCTTATGCCGGTTACTACGACCAACAGTATAGGAAAGCGCTTACAGAGGACTGGTACGATCACCTCAAACACTCCGGAATCAGCTTCAAGCCAACGAATCCATTCACGGAATATCTGTCGACTGCTGACGACCGCCTGAACTGGCAACACAATGGTCTGCCGGTCGACGACCTGTGCACCGAGAACGCCATCATCCTGCAGAGGTTCAACCGCTACCCGCTTATCATCGATCCTTCTGGTAGAACAACAGAGTTCTTGCAGAACGAATGCAAGGACCGCCGTCTCACGGTGACTAGCTTCTTGGATGATTCATTCACCAAACAACTTGAGAGTTCCCTGCGTTTCGGTAACCCAATCTTGATTCAGGATGCCGAACATCTGGATCCCATCCTTAACCACGTTCTCAACAAGGAGTACCAGAAAACTGGAGGTCGTGTGCTCATTCAACTCGGCAAGCAGGAGATCGACTTTTCGCCGTCTTTCCGCCTCTACCTCTCAACACGCGATCCTTCCGCCAACTTCGCTCCTGACATCTGCAGTCGTACCACGTTCGTCAATTTTACTGTCACGCAGAGCAGCTTGCAGACACAGACACTGAACGAAGTCCTCAAGTCCGAGCGACCTGATGTTGATGAGCGCCGATCCAACCTCATCAAGATGCAAGGAGAGTTCGCAGTCCATCTTCGTCAGCTTGAGAAGCGACTGCTTCAAGCTCTCAACGAGTCGCGCGGTAACATTTTGGACGACGACCGCGTCATCGAAACGCTCGAGACGCTCAAGAAGGAGGCCAAGGAGATTTCGGACAAGGTCTCCGAGACCGCTGGCGTTATGACAGAGGTCGAGAACATCACAAAGGAGTACACTGTTGTCGCTCGTTCTTGCTCAGCTATCTTCGCTGTGTTGGAGCAACTGCACCATCTCAACCACTTTTACCAGTTCTCGCTCCAGTACTTTACTCAGATCTTTGAGACTGTGCTGCGCAAGATTCGCAACTCGAACATCACTGGTCATGCTGCCCGTATTGAGCAGATCGTTACCGAGCTATTCGTTGACGCATACCGCCGCACCTCGCTCTCCTTGCTCCAGAAGGACCGTGTTACGTTTGCTATGCTCCTCGTGCAAGCGGCGCCCTACAAGATGGACAAGGCACACATCGATCAGATCCTTGACCCCGACCTGAAGGGTATCGATGTGTCAACCGAGACAGAGCGCAAAGAGGAGGCCATGGAGCGTGCCAGCAAGATCCCGATGTTTAAGGAAGAGCTGCCGAAGATTGAAGACAGCGCTTGGGATGCTTTCCTCAATGAAGAGATGGGAGAGCGACATGTACCGCAGGCTTGGCCAGAAGATCTTACCAAGTTCGACAAGCTACTACGAGCTCTCGTCTTGGTCAAGCTATTCCGCGTGGATCGCTTCGTACCCGCTGTCGAGCGCTTTGTCACTGAGGTGTTCGGCAAGGGCATTCTAGATGCCAGCGGTGATCTGGGCGATATTGTGAAGCAAGTCAATGCAGTAACCCCCGTGGCTCTCAGCTCCAGTCCTGGATTCGACGCAAGTTACAAGGTCGACAATCTTGTAGAGAGGGAGCAAGTCAGCTGCACAAACATTGCCATGGGTTCCAACGAAGGTGCCGCATCAGCCGACAAAGCCATCGCTAACGCCGCCACCACAGGCAACTGGGTACTTGTCAAGAACGTCCATCTCGCTCCGCAATGGTTGCAATCGCTTGAAAAGCGTCTTGAAGCTCTCAAGCCCAACCCCGACTTCCGTCTCTTCCTGTCAATGGAGTCCAGCCCCAAGATTCCGGTCAACCTACTTCGCGCTTCTCGCGTCCTATCTTATGAGCAGCCTGCTGGAGTCCGTGCCAACATGAAAGACTCGCTCTCTTCGTTGGCCGAGAAGGCCACCAAGCCGCCGGTGGAGAAGGCACGTGTCTACCTCCTCTTGTCCTTCCTCCACGCAGTCATTCAAGAGCGTCTTCGCTACGCGCCGACTCTGGGATGGAAGGGCTTCTGGGAGTTCAATGACAGTGACTACGAATGCTGCAGTTTCATCATCGACACATGGGTCGACACTGTGGCACAAGGCCGATCTAACATAGCCCCTACCAAGATCCCATGGGAGATGCTCCGTTACCTCATCACAGAGATGTACGGTGGCAAGATCGACGACGCAGAAGACTGGCGCATTCTCGCTTCTCTCGTCGATGCTACTATGACACCAGCCGCCTTTGAGGACAACTTCAAGATTGTCAAGGATACTGAGCACAGCGAGGGTCTCGAACTACCTACCTCGACTAGCTGGAAGGACTTCATGGGCTGGGTCAATGACCTTCCCGAGCGCGAGCCGCCTACTTACCTCGGCTTGCCTGCCAATGCCGAGAAGCTGTTGCTGGTCGGTCAGGCCAATGCTATGGTTGGCGGTTTGAAGAGGGTGTTGGATATGTTGGATGAGGGCGAGCAGGTTATGGCTGAGGCGGAGACTGAGGTCGAGGGTTAGTGGTCTTATGACCTGTATTAGGCGTACTCTAGATGAGTGTCGCGATTTTTCTTTATCTGTAGTTTTGTTCGTTAGCTGGGGTTATAAGGCGTTTCAACTTGGGTTTCCGTGGTTCAAGGGACGGTCCGCTAGTTTACTGGTATACCCATAAATCTCATTGTTCAGTGTTTACTTGAAGCAAAAGCCCGTGTGAGTCCTAGATGTTGCTAATTGATAGGTACATGTAGTCTCCGAATCATCTCAGCTTACACTGAGTCGAGAAGTATCCCAGCCAGATAACACCTCGTTAGGCCCATGGTTGAGCAGCTGACATAGCATCTCGTTGCATTGCAGGCTTACACGTGACGCACTATGCGAGGTCACCGAGGTCACCTTGCGCCTTCTTACTTCGCCAACCTTTTGCCCAGCTCAAACCCCATGGCCATGCCACCCCGATTCTCCAACTCCGACTTCTTCTCTTGCAACTTCTCCCAATCGGAGTCTGTCCTCTCCTCTTCTAAAGCCTCCCTCTTGTAGCGTGCTTGAAACTTCTGCGCTTCTAGCTCTTCCTTCCTTTTCGCCATGATCTCAGGTACAGCTTGACGAGCCACCTCCGCTTCTTTGTTTCGCTTCTCAATTGAGGCCTGAATAGCGATAAAGTCAGCGGCTATGTCGGGCTCTGCCATGTCATCCTTTATGCACAGAGCGCATGCTTGCGCAATGTCGGCATACTCCTGTTCCTCTTCGTCAGCAAGTCCGTCTAGGGCGAGAGATATGGTGGCTTCTTCTTCGGCGAGTGTTTCGATAACCTGAGAATGCTTAGCGGTCTCGGAAGAGTGAGTAACAATGTCCTTGAGAATGCTGATGTACTCATCGACGACTGAGACATCTCCAGGCATGGCAGAGGTAGCGATGAGGTCTTTGGTGGCCTTGATCGTGAGGTTGTCTTCTGTAGCTACGACGATGTTAGAGTTTGTGTCGGAGTCAGAGTCAGAGTCAGAGTCAGAGCCTGAAGATCCGCTTTCGATGACGATGGGCCTGTGCCTACGGCGACCGAGAGCGAAGACGGTAGAGAGGGGGGTGGCTGTACTTTTTCCCTTTTTACGGCTTGGTAGGCGCACGTTGGCTGATGGCGTCGAAGGCGGACTCAGCATAACAGTGTCTGCATCTTGCTGTCCATCAGACTCCGGCTCGAACAATGGACTCTGCTCTCGCTCTCCCGACATATCTTTCATTCCTGACTTCTTGTTACTACCCGTCTTATCCATGGTCGCTCTCTTGCGCTTCGCGACCGTCTTGCTCGGAGTCGCAGGCGGTGGAAGACGTGGGTCGACCTGAGAGAACATGCCATACCTGCCGTTCGTTTCCGCGCTAGGTCGATCGGGATTCATGGCTGCGTAGTGTTCACGGAATCTGTTGGCCTTGGGATCGATCTTGGCTGGCGGGCTGTTGTCCTCGGATGCCTGGCTTGATGAGTCGCTGGTATCCATCACGCGGGTCTTTTGGGCTCGTCTCCGCAGATCCGACATGACGGTGTTCAGTGTTAGGGAGCGTATGTAGGAGGTGGGAGAAGGGAGTGTCATTGAGTGAAGGGTACTAGATATTTATATAATTGAGTGGATGGGCCCAGCGCATTTGTGGTGACTGCGAGTCGAGGTGACCTCGAATTATTATTGTTTCTGCAGAGGCAATATATAAATACAACCCCCAAAGGGCTGACTATATCGCGAGATGAATGGAGTCTGCGTCACCGTGAGAAGCGTTTGCTCCACCATCCTTGCCTTCCAAGGTTACGCCTACGCCACTACCCTCCTGAACGCTACCCACCCACCCACTGTCACAACCTCCGTTTTTCCGAAACATTTACGCCGGGCGTGGTGACCTGTAGAGGCCGTGTCTGGCCTTTTGTCACATTTGGGTGCTGCCCGTTTGCGCTTCTTGCTTTTCGCTTCGTTTGCGTCCGGAACGGGTAGGTCCAGAGGATGTTGCGGTACTTCTCGAATAAGTTTACGTGGTCCAGCATCTAGGTCTAGACCTGGAGCTACAGGGCAACTAATCTGCTTAGAAGGTGTAGCTAGGTCGGCCTTGGGTACGTTGGCATCTTTGGGTAGTAGTAGAGGAAGAAGAGTGCGAAGAGTTGTCGATTCGTGCGACGGTGCTGCGGTGACCGAAGCGGGCTTTTCCTCTTTCTTGCGTCGCTTTGGGGCCTGCTTGACCGCTTTCCTTGTTTTCTTGATGGTGTCAGTAGAAGTAACACTAGGCGCGGCAACAGGCGGTGTGTTCACGTCTCTTATGGGTGTTTGCTCGAGTCGAGGTGCGACTGCCGTTGACAAGTTCAGAGTATGTGGTAGTTTTGCAGGTGAAGAAGCCCTACATGAACCACAATGCGCTGTCGTCTTCTGCGAGGGTTGGGCATAAGGCTCTCCAGTCACTTCAGGTCGGTTTTCAGTAGGGCACGCTACTGGCCTGACCGCGGAGTCGAGAGGCAGGCAATCTTGGGTGACTCGCGACGCCACTTGACATACTGGAGGGCTCGCCGTCTGCTGCGACGCAGCGGTCTTGCTTTGAGAGTGCAGGGAAGCGCTCTTTGAAACCCATGTAGACTTCAGCAGCCGCTGCGGCGGTGTGTTCGGGTTGAGGAGTTGATTCAGGTTCATGGCGACTGATATTCGAGCTGAATGTGCAATAGGCGAGCGGGTTGTTAAGAAGAATACCCCGCAAGGATGGAAGATAATTCGTATCAAGAATGTATGGGGCTGCATTCAAGCGCCTATATAACGGAATTCGCATAACTAACCAGAGTTCTCGTTATTCTGAGAGCTCAACCATGGTTCGCACACGTGACCGCCCATCACACGCTCTTATTAGTCACTCTCCACATCGAGCGTCCTCCGCCTCTTGAACATGTTCCTCACCTCAGCCCTGCGTTCTTCGATCTCGTCTCTCTTCTTCTCCAACTCTGCACGCTCTCGTTTCCATTTCTCCTGGAAAGCCTCGAAGCGCGCATCCATAACCTCCAATTCGTGATCAACATTGTTGAGGTCCTTCGTCAGAGCATTTTGCTGCATGACTAGCCTGGTGAGGGCGTCGAACTCTTCGTCTTCGGCTGAGCGCTTGGAGTTGCGCGGCGGGGCTGTGGGTGTTGCATCTGCTTCAGGGCTGGCAGATTTGGGAACCGAGGTTGTCGGCAGCGGCTTCTGCGTTGATGTTGCATGAGGGATTGTACGACGTGCGATTGAAGGGGCCGACTTACGCGCAACGCTCTGCGGGAAGCGAGGCGCTTTAGGCGTGGGTTCATTGGCCAGCGTCGACTGGGTGTTCTGCTTCTCTGGGGTGTAGGAGCTTTCGCTACTCTCATCTGCTATACTGTCATCCATTGGTACGGTACCCGATGATTTGAAGGCGCTAGGGCCCATCTGATCAGAGATGTACTCCAGTGCGCAGCGGAGACGCTCGGGGTAGGCCTTGGTTTCGTGTAAAACGCAGTCCGTAGCAATTCCAGCTGCGATGAAATACCACTTGACCATAAGCGTTAACCTGGCTTTGTCAGGTGGGTCGCTTGGACCGGTACTTCTGGGGTAAGTTTTGCTGAAAGGGTGCAAGATGCGCTGCTTCCCTGTAGCTTCGGCGGACATTGACGCGTAGGTACCACGAGCGCTTTCCAGGTAAAATCGGATCTCATGGAAACCCCGCTGCGCTATTCGTACCATGTAGGCATAGATTCTGTGCTCTGTCTTCGCATGGGTTCCGACGAATAATTTTTTCGGTTGGGCTTCTAGGATGTACGTCTGATCCAAGAATTCCATGTCATGAGCATCGGGAATATTCTCCAAGAGTCGCAACGCGCCGCGCTCAGCAAGGTATGACCATAGTAGTTGCAAATCCGGATTTCCGTCCCAGCTCATACCATGTGGGGTATCGTATGTGACGTTGCTCTCAGGTGCGTTTACCAAGCCATTTCGGTTGGCAGGCAGCAATCCATTCGGGCTTTCCATGTCTTCCGGCTCTGAGCTTTCCTCCACGGTCTCGCCTGTTTCTCGGGGGTGCTTATAGGTCCCATGGCTTCCATCGGTATTCCCGTAGACCTTTCTCAGCACAGACGATAACCGCCGACTAAAGTCATCGTTCCACGCGTCGATTTTGCTTATATGACCTTGCAAAAGGAAGTAGTAACGTATAATCATGCTAAGCATTCGCTTCTTGGTCTTCGTTCCATCTGTGAAGTATTTGAACGGAACGATGAGAGGCTTCGTCATGGCTTCATCTCCGGTGATTGATGGCAGCGTCGAGGTCGCGCGGTCATCGCCAATGGATCTGAGGCAGTAGCGAACCTCCCAACCACCGCCGGATGGCAGCAGATAAGTCAGCACGTTGCGGTTGCCTACGTTTCCGATCAACAGACTTGGGGATTCCGCCTCATCCAGTGCATTTTCAATCCAGGTCAGGGAATCCGCTGATGGCAGTGCATCCATGCAGGAGTCGGCGCCGGCCTTGGCCATTAGCTTTCGAATTGTCTGGAGGGACATTTTCCGGTTTTTGTGGAAGGTGATAAGTCGCCGAGGATAGCCGTCTGTGTCGCGTTCCAGCGCATCCGATGTCTGGTCAATTGTTTGTCAAGGATCACGGGCCTTGTTGCCAGCAAGTCGCGCGATGATGTTGGCGCGTCTGAGCTACAACGCGTCGCCGGAGGCTCGACCCCCTGCACTCAAGATATATGACAAAGCATGCGGAGAAGTCTGGTGCATACTACTCTGGACTACAGCAAGATATATCGCAATGGACGGGGTATTGATGATAAGGCTAAGAAGATGCAGGTCGCAGGAGCGTTGCTTGTTCCGGGAAGGATCAGGCGGTCCACTGCCGCTAGCGTGAACACGTGCACGTGCACTGGAGTACTCGCGTGCGACACCTTCTATGGCATTCTTGAATGACGTCCTATCTAGTGGTTGTGTATTTACGCGTTTATTGCGAAAGTATATGAGGCTTAGGCAGTTGAATTATTATTTCTATTAGCTTTTGGCTATTGAGATAGATATGTATACAATTTAAATCTGAAATCTCCCATCGAACAGCACACATAGCCGAGAGTGAGCCGTCTATGGCGATACTACCACTGATTCAAAAAGCTCTCTATCGGCTCGCAGTTCGATACCCCTAAAGTGCGGTCTTATGGAGATACTTCCACTAGGTTTACCTTTTTGCTCTTTTTTGCTCCCCAGAATGCGCTTTCACCTTCACTTTTTAGACCAAATGCGGCAATGATGTCACACTGCAAACGCAACTCACCGTGACTTCGAATTGAGATTTACTAGCTCTATTGTTTTTGACCTTTGATCTCAGCTTCTGCCATCCTTTTACCAACTACATACCCTCCGCGATGGCCGCAAACGCGAAAACACAGCCCCCGGGCGCCTACATCTACGACGAAATTGTCAAGATTGCGGAGCAAAGCTTCCCTGACGCCTACAACGCGCTCCTCGATGTCGACGACATGCCCTGGGAGCGGCCTGACTACGACCGTGTCGGCTTCTCCTCGCACTCCCTCTTCCTCGGTTACATTGTCGTCGACGACATCACCCACAAAGTCTCGGCATACATGACAAGCGAGGGCAACATTCAGCTCTTCCGCCGCAGCATCAGTCTCTCGCGACGCGATAACCAGCGCCTCGCCCTGACAAGCATTTGGGCGCATCTGCAAGAGAATGTCGAGCGCCCGGGTCTGCATAATTTGAAGGCACTGTGCGGATTCTACTTCGTCGCCGCCGGGTATGCAGACGTGGTGAATGCGAAGAAGGGGTGGTTCCAAGATCTGGAAATGGCTTCGAGGAAAGTTGGTCTGGGCCTTGGGGTCCTGGGTGATGAGCCTGTGGTTTCGGGACTGGGTGAGGAGGTGGAGAGGAACGTCGGAAAGGCCTTGAGTTCGCACGATGGCGACGTCGAAGACAACGTGGGTTCTGGAGACGAGACGGACGTCACAGTGGGCGCGGTGATGAGGGGCCTGGGTGCTGGGGTCGATGAAGTCAAGGTTGCACACATCCTGCAACGGCTCCTGATCGTAGTCAAGACCAGGCAGGAGAGCTGGGGTGAGCGGATTGAGGCGGAACTGAAGCGGGCTTGGCCAAACTACAAGAAGCACTGGAGATAGGAACACAGCCGGGCTGAGATTTGAGAGATAAGAATACCGCTAGAACGCTAAAAACGACGAGACTACGGAGCTACTGCTGTTGCTCCTTGCACCTTTGCTGCTTGGTCCATTTACTGAACTTGTCCTTCTTCCATCCGCTTTTCCAGGTGAGTGTGACCCTTTCTCCATCGATGTTTAACTTTTGTGGCTCCTTATGTGTCCCAAAGCGTATACTGCTGCTAAGGTGACACTTAGTCGGCGGGTTCTCGTTCCAATTCCTCTGATTAACCGAGGAGTAGGACCACTGGACGCAGTATTTGCTATTGTCACAGGACTCTTGGCATGCCTCTGGCGACGCTTCTCCGTTCCCAGCGCGATCCGCATCCTGATGCTCGCCGCCTTGGAAGAGGATGTTCCATCGGTTGTTCGAGGATTCGGAGGATAAGTTGTCCCAGTCATTGCGTGTGTAGTTCAAATCTTCCGGGGTCATGAAGCGATACCATAGATCTGCAAAGCGCAGGGTGGGCTGGTCCGAGGGTCGGTCCTTCTCTAATCTGAGCAGATCACTGCCGATGTCCGGTGTAATGTGGTGCATCAGCAGGATAGGCTCACACCATATGGCAGGCGAAAAAGGCACAGTGCTTGGGTCGAAGCCGGAGATGCTAGGCCAGACTGTGGTAAAGGTGATTTTCACCTCAGCCTGCAGTGCGCTGGCGACGAGATCAAACGCTGTCGTGTGGTCCGCGATCTGCTCCCGCCAGTTCTGGATAAAGTCTTTGCGCTTCTTGAACAGCTCCAGCATCACTCCTCGCGAGAGGATGAACGACGTGCCTCCGGCGGCAAAGGGATCGGGGACGCGCGCCGTCGCTGGGGCAGGTGGGTTGCCAAAGAAGTGCTTCGCGTCTGGGTCGTGTTGACTGAGCCAATCGAGTAGGTTTGGCCTGTTGACGTACGTCTCATCGCCGGCGAAGACATACCAGCTGCGGTCTGGCCTGTACTCCCACGCAGACGCCATTGTCTCCAGTATCTTGTACTTGTCCAGGATCTCCATCTCCCTCTTCTCTTCTTCTGGGTCCTCCTTCTTCAACTTGGCCAGGGGTATGCTCCTCCGCGCATAGTCGACCTGAGCGCGGTATCGCTCCAGCTGCTTCGTCTTCTGTATAAAGTCGGATTTGTAACGCCAGATGACGTCGAAGACGGGCCATCTTCCGATCTGGGTTTGCAGGTCCGAAAACAGCAGAAGCGTGCCGTGGTCTTGTTCGTTGGTGTTGAGGATGAGAGGCGTGACTTTGTTGTAGACGTCGTTTGCGGTCGTGGTGACGGCGACGACGAGCTGGTCATGGTCGACCTGGTGCGGGCCGAGGTTGGACTCTTGCTGGGGGCGCTTGCTCGGCGGGAGCTCTTCGTCGTCGTAGGTGCGCGGCCAGCCCTTGACCCAGAAGAAGGCATATATGAGGATGACGCTGAAGACGAGGCGGGCCGGGCGCGGCATGTGCTTCCGGTAGGACGACATGGTCGCTAGCGTTTGCTGTGTGGCATCTGTCGGATTAGTAGCTAAAGAAGAGTACAGAGATCAAGATCGCAGATGGCCACAACGTGTTTCACCCCATCGCAATGGCCCGATCAATGTTTGAGAAAAAGCGCGTTGCGAACGGCCGCCCGCATTCAGGGGAGCCTAGGCCCGACCGAGACGCGTGGAACAGGCCTGGTGTGGCGCGGCCTCGTATTGCTGAGGGACACGCGTCGCGGGGGCATCAGCGTAGCATGGCTTTGACACCAATACCTACAGCATCGACAACATATTCACATTCCAAGACGCGAACTACATAGTACAACGGCGAGAGACGCCGCATGAGGCGTTCCTGCCTTCTTGGCGATGCATCGGAGGAACAGCCGGCAATCTCCGACGGTCACCAGATCGCCGCTACAGCACCCTGCGTCTTCGATCCCTCTCTTCTTCGTCACTTTCCATCAGCTCCGGTAATCAGTATAGCTTCAGCAGCCCGAACTGGCGATGAATCCGTGGTCACGACGCATATATGGTACGCTCGCAGCAGCTGTCCCGTATATCCGATAACACCGAAGCAAGCGCGTCCCCCTCACCTAGATCTATTCGGTGGTCTCTATACAGTGAACGATGAGAAATCTTGCGGAGTCTTGACGGAACCAAAGAGCCTAGCAGTGATGACTTTGAGATGCGATGTAACAAGTGGTGATCATATGCGAGGAACGGACGCTGATCTCACAGTCACCCACCTCGAGAAACCGAGCCATCAAGCGAACTACGTCCGCCTGTGTCAACACGATTCATTAGGAAAGGCGATTGTCAACGTGATCATGAAATCACTCAATAGGTGCGGCCGCGCGACTAGTTGCTGTTTTCCGCGGCAGGCATACAGCATCTGATTGCTGTGGATGTGTCACTGTTTACTCGACGCATCCACTTCAGTGTAGCAAACTGCGAGCCAATCTCTAAGGTGGTTATAAACCCTCGAATCAGGCTTTTTTCTTGTAGGCCGTATAGATATGCTAAAACGGAGTTAAGTACTCCATCATTCATTGACCTCCCTGCGATTTCACTGCCTTGGACTAGAGACTGTGGCAGGTCAGACTACTAGGGCCATACCTGATGAGGCATCAGCTTGTAAGTACTCCAGTCACCCTTCCAGCACATGTACATTCATTAACGCGGTTATCAGCTGCCTTCGATCTAACATGGCGTGACACAGCGATTGTTTGCGCGCATTGCCCGTCTGCGGATTGAGATATCGCGCCACGCAAGAAATCATAGCTGCCAATGTCACGCTCTCCTCTATATATCGACCTCTCGAAACCGTTCAACTATATTTTCAACCCGGGCCGTCTACCAGTCTTCCAGGTTCAGTCAAGATGTCAAACCAGAACTCGGAGTCGACAGATTGCGCAGATGAGCGCCCAGCATGGCAGGAGGAAGGGTTCAGTTCCCATCAAGAATGGCAAGACTGGCGAAACGAATATCTGGCAACCGATAATGCCTACCATACCCAGGCGGAGGACCCATCCCCTGATGACAGCGATGAGGATGAGGGCTTCGACGAGGAGTTCGTTAGCGAGCAAGACTCAGAGGATGAAGACGACGACGACGAGGAATCAAAAAGCGGTGAGCCTGGAAAACACGTCGAGCCCGAAGACGACAGCAGCCCCGACGATCGTTCCGAGGCTGCAGACAACGGCGAGCCTGGAGTAGACGATACTTCAAATGTCGACGACACTGTGCTCACTTCTATTTACGGCTTCGGTAAGTAATAATGAAATTTTGCCAGACGCAATCTAACGCAGTAGGTAGCGCACGACAAGAACAAAGACTATGCCCTCGTTGAGCAGTCAGCCCGTGGAGCTCTCAACGCTATAACCATAGCTCTTCAAGACATCATCAACAGGAGTCAGGCACAACAAGGTAACCCACAGAGTCTTGCGAAAGAGATCGAGAGCGCCTTTGCCACGACTTTGCCTACGTATTTGAGCGTTCAGGCAGTGCTCCAAGGTGGACACCAAGTCAGTATTTTCTTCCATATGGGTATAAGAGCATCCAGCTGACTGAATTCAAAGGGTGTTGGGCGGCCACCTCCCCTCAGCGCCGATTCTTCGCAGCGTAATCAATCATTGATCGGAACCTCTGCCGCCGTGTCTGTTCCACCCTCCCCGCCTCCGCCGCCACCGTCAAGGACCAGCGGTCTCGTATCCTCTGCCCCGCAAAGAAATGTACGTTGCATCTCTTAATTTTATCCGCGCGGCGCTAACATTGTATAGGAAGTCAGCGCTTCGCAAGGAGACGAAGACGTCAACAGCGACAATGAGGAGGAAGTTGAAGAGATAACAACACCACATCCCGACTAGAGCGACTCGGGCCCATATAACTAGACAAGTTGATTGATGTAAGAGGTATGGCGATGGAAGCGCCAGGTGTAGCTCGCTGAAGACAGATGTGCGTAATGAAGAGGTTCATACTGAGTCAAGCTTGAGCCCCCAAGACAGATCGGGGTTGCGATATTAATACACAGTGTACGGGTGTCGCGGTTCCTTCGTAAGTGCATGGCTGTGAACGAGGGTCTGCGTGTAGGCCTGATTTGGACAAGCACCTTTCACCGGCAGAGAGATTTTCGTCACCGTTCACTTGACTTTCTCATACATCGTTAGGTCTCTCGCAATCTCCGCGCTCTGTAACCTTTTCAACCCCAACGCCGCCAGAACCTCTTCAACATCACATGTCTCGGGCCACAGCGGCTACTGATGCTGACATCAATGTCACAGGTCTAGGTCAAGGCCCCGTGGCACTTCCAATCCGAGCGCCTTCGCTCGCCGTTTCGTCTCCGCTTTCGCCTGCTCAGGCAAATCCCATCAAACACTACGGCAGGGATGCGAAAACCTTCAAAGCCGCCGACCTCCGCTTCGATGACGGCTCGTTCAATAAGCCTGGCACAAAGGCCTATTACAAGAGCTTTGGGTTCCGCGAGAAGACCAAAAGCACCAGCGATCAGAAGATGACCGGAGAGAGGAACGAGAAGCAGTCACTCGTCATGATCTTCAGCAGAAATGCTGTCAGGCGATCTGCTCTGACGGGGTCTGTCGCAAACAGAGCTCGGAAGCTGAGCAGGAGGCAGTAGGTGTGCTCTTCGGGTAAAGGAGCAAGTCTAACATATCCACAGGAAGTTCATGCGCGAGGTCAACAATGACGAGAAGTTCTTCAAGTGGGACTGAGTGCCTGCAAAGGAGGCGAAGGACGGGCAAGAGACAACGAGTCCGACTTCCGCTCTGGGAACGAGGCCTGACGTCATGAAAGAGCTGAGAAGTGGCTATCGGGCGGCGAGTGTCGTTGTCTGTTCTTGCCCTGTTCTGCAGCGATGGTTGAACATTAGAACCGTCACTGCTCTCATGCTCATATCCTAGTACTGCGCGTTTGTTTTCCAGTCACGTTCGTCAAGAATCGCACGCGATCACATAGTAGTATCACTCATTCTCTAGACCCTATAAAGTCTTGTTGCCTAGCTGTGTGTCATTACTTCCGCCTACTAACACCCTTCTCTTTCTCTTCCACTCCTAAGCTTGCTTTGCTATACTACATCCCTAATGCCTCCTAAAGCGTACAGCGTCCCACATGATTCAGGTGGTCGCCGTACTCCGCCAAATCCCCCACCGACCAGGAAAACCGGCCTCTCTATGAGCGACTTCCAGTATCAAGGTTCTCTAGAAGACGACCCTGTTACCACCATAGCCCGTGGTCTCCGCGAGAAACGACTGCGATTCACCAAAAAGATACCGAACGATCACGACAGCAATATCTGCTCACCAAGAGACCGCCGCAGTGCCCTTTCCGTATTCGACGAAGCCATCGAAAAGATCTGCGAAGACAACCGCCTGGAAGTAACTACCGAGGCCGACTACAAGATCAGGGTGATCTTGGGGATCACCAAAGCGCAACCTTCTTCTTCTGTGTTCCAGAATAAGCAACAACTCTCGCCCATAGACCCCCAGTATGCAGAGCCTCGCATCGAATGGCACGACGATCCATACAGCTATCACTCGACTTGGAGATTACAGCATTGGCGCAAAGACGGATGGCCCGACTCGTTTCCTGAGAGGGCTATTCAGAAAGAGCGAACTATGCAAGGGGAGCCGAGGTCTTGGAAAGATCAAGACTGGGCTGAGCCTGGAGGACTTAGTTGAGAGCCGGTGATCGTGGCGGGGGTGATCGCGGTTGAGGATTTCGAGCAGCATAGGTGCTCTTCCAGGACCTCCACTTGCTGAGGAATTATCTAGGTAAACAGGCCCCATGTGACAAATAGATGAAAATCCAACATCGTGTTGAAATACATTCGCAGAATCTTGTATCCACATTCCGACAATGCGTTCAATTTCTAGCAAGCGTTAAAGTGACTGAGCTTATACTGTGCAGCTAACGTATCCTCTCAAGCTATTTCACACCCATTGTTGCCCTAGGGGTTAGCACTGTGCAATTACAGAGTAGATACGCATGTGAATGAATCCCAATACCATTCATCCTGAAAAGTCCAGAGTTTATGTCCTAACCTCTTGTTCCTCAGTAAGAACTCACAACTACCAACCAAACATGCCCCGTCTAAAAGAAGGTACTTCGCTATGGCGAGCTATAAAGGAAAGGGCAAATAACCAGACCGAACCAGGCCATCCGGCTTCGAGATCGATAACAGGGGTGGCTCCTGCGGGAGAAAGTGTCGCTTTACCCGAACGACAGGATGCCAATTCTTCGAATACTTCTACATCCAATGTTACACGGCGTGTAACAAGTTCCGAGAGCCATATTGGCGGAGATCCTAGATGGGTCCGCCGTAGTACACGCAATGTGAACGAGTTCTCTACTGACCGAGTCCCAACTGAAGAGGAACAACTGCAAGCTGCTCTGGCTGAGTCTCTGGTACAAGAGTCTGCAAGACCCGCGGAGAATCACCATGTAAAGCAGACACGGAAGAGGCCCTCAAAGTCCAGGGGTCGCCTGACTTCGCAGAAAGCGCAGGAAGCATTACCTCGACTCCCTGGACAACACACTGCTCTGAAGCTGCCAAAATTAAGAATCACAAACGACAGGATATTGGTTGTAAGGGAAGTAGACAGCCTAGCGCAATCGCTGGATACTGACGAACCATTGGATGCTTTCGATCTTGAGCAAGCTAAGGACCTCAAACGTCAACAACAACTCCTCTCTCTATCCATGCTCGAACGACAGGAAGGCTACATACGTCCTGCTCAAGGTGAGCAAGAAAGCGCTATGCGCAGCACACTTGCTCATGATGTGGATAACGATGACTTCACTGCTGCATTCATCCTAAGGGAGATGGCAAACAGTGACATCACCGCTGATCCTGTGAGTATGGATTTTGTCCAGAGACTCATGAATCCATCCACTTCTGGAACAACTTTGGAGTCGACTAACTCGGCTAAGGAAGAGAACCCGGGCGAGAGTCCACCCCTTCGTCGTTCGACACGAAAGAAGTCTGCTGCTACTCCCAGAGCTGGGAACTCTTCCTCAAAGGCCATCGAATCTGAGCAACCGGCACCTGAGCCCTTGAAACTGGATGAGGGCGAAGGTTTTATGCCATCCGCGGCAAGCGACTTCAAGTTTAAGTACGACAGCCCTTCCGGACTTCAAGCTAAAGAACTTGACGCACTTCTGAAGCCTCCGAGTCGTCCTAAGGCCTTTCCGGCTGATCTTGCTGGTGAGAAGACTTTCGGCCATAAGAGCTACAAAGGTTTTGGTAGTAGGCCGAAGGAGAATGCTGCAAACGATAGGGTCAGAGAAATGGAACTCGAACATGCGCGAACACAGCAAGACGTAGAGATGGCTATGGAGTAAGAGGATATGTGGAGCGAGTTTTGGGGTGTTGATGAATGGGAAGAGTAGCCCTTTCTCGGAGACAAGAAGATGCCCAAATCCTGCTAAGGAAATTATGTGTGCACATACCTTCTTGAACCTAGTAAGCAGTCACTCAATTCACGCACTGCAAATTAGGCGGCCATCCACTACAAATAACCGTTCGTTAATTTTTCATTCACACTGCTTTGATTAATCTGCCTAGCCGTAGGGAAAATATAGGCCGTCGTAAGCCGAGACAGACTCTGTAATATACTCTCATGAACAGCCATATTCTCTCTACCACTTTGACTCGACCAGCCTTTAATGAACCATATAACTACTTCATCCAATCTACAAAGCTGGTGGGATGTCGGATAATCCACCAAATACTCCCACTGTCACAATCTCAAATCGCTCTCAGCAAGACACCGCTGCTACTACCAGGCCTCATCAAAGTTTAAGTCACATGGAATGGGTTGATCACCGCATTGGTAGGCCTGATCGAACAGGCGAACGTCATACCGAGCAAGAGCAAGAGGTAGCGAGGACCATGCTAACATTGAGACGACTGGTTTTGTTCTCTACGAAGGCTCATGCAACAGACATCCCCCTCAATATGAGCGGGCCTGTTATAATCCATGACAGCGACGGTGAGCGGACGATCACTGCAAGACCAACCCCGGATACGACATCAGCGCCCCATGCTATAACATCTGCGAGTATTGCTATGAAGTCAGTACCAGGCAGCAATGTTAGTACGACGAATGTTCCTGCCACTGAGGATGTAACTATTCCAGCTGTGCGGAAGATCACACTGGAAGAGTACATGAGGTTGAGAAAAGCGAGGAAAGATAGGGAAGCACATGAGAATGCTTGACCTCGGACAGTGAGGTAAGTCCGGGTATGGTGTAGGACTACGTAGTGTACTTATCATCTACACAGCTCGGGTATCCTGATCCTGAGGCCGACATGTAGTCGCCAACGCCATCCACCAGCGTACTATGCACCACCCTTAGCCAGAGCGGCTGCCTTACGCTCGCGCTTCTCACGACGGATGCGGGCCGTGCGACGAGTCTTCGTCTCCCCGGCAATTATCCTGCTTCTCCGTGGTGTTGCGGAAAGAGGCGCGGAGGGTACAGGGGAGTTGGCGACGTAGTCGCTCGCCCACTTCGACAGCATCGGACCTGGCATGGTCGGAGGCAAGCCCTTGACGAGGATGGGGCTGCCATCCGCCAATGCCCTGACCCTCTTGTCCATGAACCCGTTCAGGCGGTCGTACAGACGGGATGCTGCGACCCCAGCCCACCACCACCCAACTGTGTTCACCGACAGCTCGTGCTGCAGGTCCCACATGTCCTGGTTTAGACCGCGGAACAGCAGGTCGAAGTCGCTTCGGTCCTTCTCGGTGGACTCGCCTGGAACTTGATGTTAGTGTGCGGACAAGGCAAATGTCGAATACTCAGAGAATACGCACCGTACAACACCGCGAAGGTGGTCTCAATCTCGTTCTCAGGCAGGAACGTCTGCCCTCCGCAGAGGCGGAATTGCTCGTGAAGTTGGGATGCTAGATCCATCATGATGAGATTGGATCGGCGAGGCGAGAGTCTGAAGATGATCAGATTAGTATGTGAGCGTCAAAATTTTGAGAAATTTTGAGGCAGGCGTGAGGTTGTTGTGGAGTTCGCTTGACGACGCGCAATTTGCAAAGGTAGAGTACGCTCTTTTCACCTGGGCACGTCCCCATGATAACCGCAAGTTTCGTTTGCATTCTGTGCGGCTCGGTCTAAGCTCATCGCTACATCGTTTCGATACGTATCTTCCCATCAGTACTATATAGAATGAACCGTCATACTGCTAGTTGATTGCGACATTCAGGCACGCTACGTACTGAACTTGGATGAGCTCATTGTTCACTGTATATGCGGCTTTGACAACCTTGGAAGTCTTGCACGCAGCAAACATGTTGACCTTACCCTCATACATAACTTTGTTTCTCCTTACACTGATTATCCCCATAACCTTCTTGAAGAGGTGCAAGATCTACGCAAGTTTGTTCAGATGGCGACCTTCACCCAGCCTACTCCACCGATTGACTTTAGACGAGACATAGAAGCTTTCAATCTTTACCACAAGAATTGCACTACCAAACCGATCAAAGAGACCGTTGCGCACCTCCTCTACGCTCTGGAGAATACAGAACCCATTGTAGACCGCACCGATGCTGTTTACACAACATTCCGTGATGCGATGGTGGGCTGGAAGACAAGGATCGATAAGAAGCACGACGCCGATGCGAATCGATGGTACTTTCACAGAATGAGGATAGAGTTCAGAGCAGTAGAACACGTGCTCTACGGTACTACCAGCGACTCGGATAGTGACGGTGAAGGCGATACGAACGACGAGAATGCCGAAGATGAGGACCAAGACGATGAGAGCCCTGAAGATGCCGGATCTGAAGTGGACTCAGAAAAAGACGATTTTGATGTAGCCCAGTCTGCAAGTTCGACTGATACCAACGCAGATATTTCGACGCGCATCGACGAAGCGAGGGACAACACTGTAGCTGAGAAAACCCCGGACATGCCTTCACCCAAGACCAAAACGAAGCCGTCCGCACGAACTACGCGTTTCAGCCAACGGCTCAAAGATCTCGACGCTCTCAGAGCACAAGAGGAAGAGAATATGCACCACAGCCCAAGGCGAGGGAAAGGCAAAGAGTTCAAAGGCGGACCTGTCGACCCAGAGAAAGCGCATCTAGACATCGGTGAAAGAGAGCTAGCTGATGATGACGAAGATGCTGTACTCGCCGAGCTGGAGAGTAACGTACGAGCCGGGACCGAGGAGGATACGGAAGACGATGAAATTGACGTGTGAAATAATAGGGTGAAGAGGACGGTGAGAATCATGCCATGTCCGGAACAAATGACATGAGCAAACAAAGGACAATGAAAAAGGTGAACATAGGGGACGATGAAGTCCAAGGTTGAGATGGCGGGTGGCGTGTGCTGGACGAGCTTAGTGTGGCGCGGCGAATCGAAATTCCGTGGCGTCAAGACCTGAGTTCCGCCACCAACCTTGGAATGCTTGTCGCAACCATAGCGCTACCTACATCAGTTTTTATCATCCTGGTTCTTTTATTACTATTAGATTGACGCGCATTTTCTGAAAAGCGTGATATATAAAAAAGTAAGGGACATCAACATTAAGCAATCGGCATAATCGTGGACGCGAAACTTGTTTAGATTCACCGAAGCAACAATAGCTTCGGGCGCGTACTCTATGTAGCGAAGAGTGATGGACAGCGACAGACTATTGACAAGACACGGGTTAAGCA